CTAGAGTTGTTTCAGTTTCCCTTTCCTTCTCCTTTCGATTCTGCAGCCTTAGAAACACTCCCCTTAGATTATCACTAGACTAAACGGGGAGGAGAGCTCCCGAGCGGACCGGCGCCGCAGGGGTGCGCGGTGGTCCCAGGAACGCGCCGGGCCGGGTGGGTTTTCGGGTTTCGCGCCTGCGGCAGCGCTGGACTCCCCAAGATCCTCACCGTCGGGCTCCGCCCCCAAACAGAGCATTGGTGTTGGCGCCAGCGCTGGGGCTGTTGAGCAGTCCGCTCGCCGGCTGCGCTCGGAGGTCGCGCTCAGGCTTCGGGGTTTCCGTCTCCTCTGACCTCTCCGCCGGCCGCACTTCCTTCTCCTCCCAAGGTCCGCGCAGCGGAGGCGCGGCTGTGGAGCCCGGGAAAGCGGCGATGGGGCCGAGGCGCGCCCGGTCGGCGCCGAGTTCGCAGTGGGAGCCGCCCGCTGGCTCGTCCTCTCCGCAGGTTCGCGCGGCGCTAGGGCGCACACGGGCGGCATCTTCTCTCGAGCCAGACTAGTCCGCCTTTTCCGGGGTTTCTGTCCCAAGCTTTTCATTTGCCCCGTTTAGATCAGAGCTGCTCCGGTTTTCTGAGCCTTTGGAGAACGCAGATGCCTGGTTCTCGATGGCGGTACCTTACCTGGGCGAGCGGCTTAAAGAGCGCTTTTCAGTTGCACATCCCGAGGGGTCATCTCCGCGGAGATCGGCCCGGGTCTGTGACTCCCATTGCACAGGTCGGGGAAGCGAGTGGCCACGCTCCTGCCCTTAAAACTTGGCTCCTGTGCTGACTGAAGAACATGGTATTCTGTTGTTCGTTTTGCTTTTAGCTTGAGCGAGGCGGAACATCACTTGCATTCCTTTTTGGTGAACGTCCTGTGCTGTATTCGCCGGGCTTTTTAAAAATTGGATTTTTCTTACCAGTTTGAAAGAGTTGTATGAACGTGAAGTCAGAATACCGTTTGTCGGTCCTAGATGCTGTAATATTTTCCTCCCCTTGCACTTAGTTTGTGTACTGTATAGTCTGCGTCATCAATCTTTTCTGTTAAGGAGGCTTACGGATTTTTCTGATGTTAGGAAGCTATCCACGCCAAGTTTTTTAAATGTATTCATCTTTATAAAAATTTTAAGCTTTCACATTTAAAATTAAAATTTTTGATAGGCTTGGCTATTATTTTGATTTAAGAATAGTGAGATAAGGGATATAGGTTTATTTGTTTTCCACCCGAATGCCCCAATACTGGTTTTTTTCTTTTTAATAACATTTCTTTTTTTCAACTGACTTGAAATGCTGAGTCTCTCAAAATCCAGTCTGTTAGGCCATTTCTTCTTTATTACCAAACTGTTTTCATTTGTAATGTAAAGTGGATTGTGCTTTGATATTTTACATGAATAGGTACTATTTTCCCAAATCTCTATCCTACTTTAATTTTTGTGATAAACTAAATAAGAGTAAATGGTAACTAGTGAACAATTTCAAATCTCTTAATTTTTAGAAAGGGAAAAATATGCACTAATACCAATAAAAAATTTTAAGAGCATCCTATTTTAAAATAGTTCCCCAAATACAATTTCAAGAATATAGGCCTTAGCTTCTCCGTGGAGCAGTCAGGGAGGGTTATTATTGTTATTTGGTTTGGCTTTGAAAAGAGTATATCTCAGAAAACACAATATATTTGCTTCTGCAATGAGTTACGTTGTCCAAAAATTGTTATATTTTCTTATACAGTTTTTCATTGCTGTCACTTCAAATGTAGCTTCTCTATCGATTTATTAAGCAGGAATCTATTATCAGATTTTAATTCACTACTTTAAAGGTATTTTCAACATAAAACAAAGTAGGAAGCAGTGTCTTCCCAAATTAAAAAAAATTCATCGTCAAGACGACAGTCAGTGCTAATTCGTCATCTTTCTGTGAGTGCATTTTCTTTAAAAACTAGTTTATGTGAAGCAAAGGTTGTCTAGATGAAATTTTTTTCCAGGCGTTTTAAGTGCATTATAATAAAGTAATCAATAAAAGTGGTAATAGCCCTAACCAGTTTGGCTCAGTGGATAGAGCGTTGGCCCGCGGACTGAAAGTTCCTGGGTTTGATTCCAGCCAGGGGCATGTACCTTGGTTGAGGGCACATCCCCAGTAGGAGGTGTACAGGAGGCAGCTGATGGATGTTTCTCTCTCATCGATGTTTCTAACGCTCTATCCCTCTCCCTTCCTCTCTGTAAAAATCAATAAAATATATTTTTAAAAAGTGGATAATAAGCCTTAGCCGGTTTGGCTCAGTGGATAGAACGTCGGCCTGCGGCATGGAGGGTCCCGGGTTCAATTCCAGTCAGGGACATGTACCTTGATTGCGGGCACATCTCCAGTGGGGATCGTGCAGGAGGCAGCTGATCGATGTTTCTCTCCCATCGATGTTTCTACCTCTCTGTCCCTCTCCCTTCCTCTCTGTAAAAAATCAATAAAGTATATTTTTAAAAAAGTGGATAATAGTCTCAGAGTGATTACCCCTAATAATAACCATTATTCCTGGTTGGATTTGCTCTGCAGAATGCATTAAATTAGGGAAAAAAATGAAGATACATTCTGTGGACCAAGGAGCAGAGCACATGCTGATTCTGTCCTCAGATGGAAAACCATTTGAATACAACTATAGTATAGAACCTGAAAGGTAGGGAACTTAATTAAAAAAATTATTTCAATTTTACTTAAAAGGCAATTATAATTTTGTAGCAAAATATTACTTTATATGGTCCTTGTCCCCTGCTTTATATAGTGGCATTTTAAGTAAACCATGAATTCTGAACTGACCAGTGAATCCCATGAGTAAATTACAAACCAATTTATATCATGTGTTGCTTTGACATTTAAAGACAATGATTGGTTAGTCTGCCTAGTCCCAAATTGGACTTTTACATTCACTAATTCATAATAATCTTATAAATTAGATTTCTAGAATAAAATCTAATAAATCTAGAATAAAAGTATTCAATCAAGGAAAAATACTTTATCATGGAATGATTTGTGATACTTTCTCTTAGTAGATCATAAGAATTAGAACTTATTTTCATCTTGTATTATCCTGTATCATAAAATTATTTTATAAAAGTCTTAGAATCATCTTATTACAATTATATAATGCATATTATTTTCCTTTTAAACCACTGGTTAAAACATTTTTGTAATTGCATTTTTATGTACTGAATGTGAAGCAGTAAATTATAAAATTTTTTTGAAGCTTCAGTACTAATTAAATACAATTAATAATTCTAACATGTTGTGACTTTCATTCATATAGTGATTGGCATAAAATATATTTTCTTTCATCAGGCTTCAATGTTATAGTTTTTTTCAAGAAAAAACTATAATTCAGATCACATGTGGAGATTACCATTCCCTTGCACTCTCAAAAGGTACTTTTTTGGAATATTAATTGTTTTTTTAGAGGGAGTAAATATGTGTATATATAGAACTAATAGAATGTGTATGCTCTACTTCATAACAGGACAAAAATATGGTTTTGAATTTGATATAGTTCAGAACACTATTCTTACAGGAGGTATAAAATGAGAGAATTCTTGGACCTATAAAATCTTCAGATTTCCATAATTACAATTCCTACATTTTATTCTGTCAGAAGACAAAAGTAAAACCATTTAGTAATGAGTTTGATGTCCTTTATTCAGAGGAAAATGATCCATGAATTGGGGAGTAAAGTGCCTCACAAGCAATGGAGCCTTCTTCCAGTGGATTCTGGGCAAGAGCAAGTTTATAGAGCATTAGATCAAACTTGGAAACAGGGCGTGATTGCCTGGGGTTGCAAATCTCACATTATTTAGAAAGATCAAGGAACAAGGAAATAGCCTGGTTGGCTTGATGTTTGGGGATTGGCTGAGTGGATATACTGTGTTTCTGGTCAAGGGGAGCATTTATAGAAACACAAAAATTTGATTGACATGGCATGCCAGCAGGGCTGGCTCCATCTTGGGCCTAGAGAGTAATTCAACAGCTTCATGTTTTTATTTTTCAAATATGAAACAATGAAAATATTCTGAATAGTCAAAATCATTCTGTCTGGAATCAGGACCGAAAAAGTAAGACAGGAGAGTGATAGGAATTCAGAGTCAAACATTTTTTATTAATGTATAGGATAGACACACACACAAACTGAATGGAAGCTGGGAATCAAGGGAAGTAAATAATCAAGAACCTGACCTGTCCTGAAGGCCCTATGAAAGTTTGAGAGTATGAACTTGTATTGGAAAAAAATGGCCTGATTGTTTTTCTTCATCCATTCATGAAGAAACATGTAATTTTTAATATCCATCATGTTCAGAAGCAAACACCTTGCACCTTCAAGAACCCCGGGGTCTAGTGGTGTGGGGGGAAAGAGATGTTCAGGATTTATTACCGGTAAATCACATGTAGGAGAAAGAAAGGTTGAGGATACAAGAAATGGAACTACATGCTCATCATTATATTCCTGGTGGTGGAAAGGCCCATGAAATTATGTTTGAAAGAAAGTCTTTTCCTCCAGATCTTGCACAGTATGTTGCAGGGGTTTTCAGTGTTAATTCTGTGATATATTTTTTCAGACTCCATTAGATATTGTCAACTCCATTAGATAACATCTAATAACTTTTCTTGAAAAATATTCAATTAATGGAAGAAGATGCTAGTTCTTTAAAGATATTGTGCTACAATTTCCAATGTATTTTTAAGTTGTTTATTTAAGACTACAGGCCCGATGCACGATATTTGATCACTCAGGGGCAAGGTGGGGGAGCGGGGTCCCTCAGCTGTGCCTGTGCCCTCTTGCACTCCGGGAGCCCTAGGGGGATGTCCCAGCTTACCTAAGCTATCAGGAGAGGCTCCCACCATCCCCTCTGTGCTCACCAGTGGAGAGCCTGGCTTCTGGCTGAGCAGCACTCCCCCTGTGGGAGGGCACTGACCACCAGAGGGCAGCTCCTGCATTGAACAGAATCAGGCCAAATGGGCTCTCCAACAACCCCCGAGGGGTTCTGGATTGTGAAAGGGCACAGGCCAGGCCAAGGGACCCCACCGGTGCACTATCACTGGGCCGGGGAGGGACTTGGGAGGTTGGCCAGCCAGGGAGGGAACGCAGGAGGGCTCCAGGGCATAACTTGACCATCTCGTTGAGTCCTGATTGCTGGACCCCAGCAGCAAGCTAACCTATGGGTCAGAGTGTCTGCCTCCTGGTGGTCAGTGCACAACATAGCAAGTGGTTGAGTGGCCTTAGCATATCATTAGCATATTTCACTTTGATTGGTTGAATGAACAAATGGACATTTAGCATTTTAGGCTTTTATTATATAGGATCTTTAGGCTCATTAAGGAGCAGGGGTGGGGGTTGGGGGGGGGAGAAAAGAATGGTTTTTATCCAGATGTACAATGTTTTTGTGTTTCATGGACTTATCCTGTGGGTTTTTAAAAATATTTTTAACTTAATTATAATATGTGCAGATAAC